ACCACAGCTGCAGGACACTGACAGTGTCCCTGATGGCATGGCTGGAGGCTGCAGTACCCACACTCACATGTACAGAGGGATGTGGAACTCAGCAGAGGGTACTTCCTGAAGGGGTTTGACATTGTTGAATGTATTTTTTCATCAGAAAACAGAAGACTCTGTTCTTGCCTGCAATCCCCTTTATTTTTTTTTCAAGCTTTTCAACTCTGTTTACTGAGGGGAGGGAGCTTCATTGTGAATGGTGTGTGGTTTTTCTTTTATTTAAAGTAAATTTGAATGATCTGGATCTGAGCCAGACTTTCGAAGCTGTTGTATTAGGTAAGGAGCAGTCATTGTGGTGCAACTTCCGCTTGGCTTCCCATGGTCAGGCACCTTTTAAACACGGCTCTATTTATAGAACAGTCAGTGGGGGAAGTTAGTAATTTTTCACAAATGACAGATTATCCTTTCTTTGGGGGGAGTTTAGAGCTGAATACAGCAAAGGTCAGAAGTAGGTATTCTTCCTTCCTTACCTCTGTCGCTGCATGTTTCTCTCTTGGCACCCATGTGAAGGCTGCTGGGATTTTTAATGTGTCTTTAAGCTGCATGAATTAGTAGTTTCTTGAAACAGGAAAAAATGCATGCTTCAGGCTTCTGTTAAATTGTTCTTTCACTTGTTTACGTGGAGTGTTCATATCTACCACAGTTGTTTGCTTGCTTAGTTTTTTTAATCATGAAATGCTCGGAAAAACACCCAATTTTCAGTTTTAGCTGGAAATCTAGTGTGAGGTGGATTCCAAATTTAAAGGCTCAAATGATGCATGTTAACTGAATAGTTAAGTACAGCCGAAGGTGAATTCAGTGCCAGCACTTGAAGCAGTGGTCTTAAAGTGCTTCAATGCTTGCTTTTTCCTGTTGGACTATGAACCTGATATAGAAGTACTGGTTATTACAAAACCACAGCTATGTTGTGGCTCTGGATGTGTACACATTAAACAGAGCTCAGTTCCTCTACACCTACTGCTACCATCCTTCCTCCTGCCCACTGAAGATGCAGAGAACTATCTGCACAGGGAGTGACAGAGGGCTGGGGGTCTGCAATGAAGTGAGGGAAGGAATTGTGTGGGACAAGGGGGTCCTGCCGAGTATCAAATTCAGTGCCCGATCTTAGGGAAGGGTTTATTTACGCAGCCCCTTCAGCTGCTCTTCAGTCACTCACACCCCCTCTGGCAGGTCTCAGCTGTCCCCTCAGGCCCGCGTTCCCAGGGTGGCTGCCAGCACTGCGCGCCAGGGATGCTGCCCGTCAGACGTGTCTCTGGGGTTCCCACTGTCCGCTGGTAACAGCATTAGACGGCTCCGTCAGCGGTTGTTCAGGGTTCCCGTAGCCGTGCTTGCCCCCCGG